TACAACGATTTTCATCCATCCTCATCTGGTGAGATCGAAAAACGAATCTCTTCTTCATGTACTTTCATTCAAAATTAAGGTCCCCTTAACAAGGATACTTTGGCCGATGCGTTGAATAAAAACGCCTGTAGTTGATTTTATCTCGTACTTGAAGCTTGGTTGTGGTCTCCTGGAGACTCGAAAGAAAGTGCCTCATCAGTGCTACGTCATCTACAGTTGTTGTCATGTCTTCTTTTAAGTCTCGTAACATTTCCAGAAGCGCCATACTCAGCACTCAGCAATAGCTTGCTAGTGACAAGCTGAGAAAACGAAGTATCAACTCAAACCAAATTAAAGATCAGATCTCTTCATCTCAAAGATTTGTTGCGCCTACATAAAATTTGATTAAAAGAAAAGTCAAAGTAAGCTCACTCGTTAATTGCCAAGTTTGAAGTCATCAACAAGTCCACTGATGCACGACCCCTTAAAGCGTCCTCAAAAGCTCAGATGGCCACCTGGGGGTAGATCAGACCAGAAGTGACCGGCTTCAGCAAGTGTAGGTGCCATTCTGACCCTTTTGTCGGCCCGAGCAGGTGAAGAAAGTGACCTCCGACGAAGTTGTGGCGAGTCCTTCTGGCGCCAGACTGTCAGATCCGCAGCTCCCTAGGGTAGAGATGGCAAACAAGAAGTGCAGCCGTAGCGAAGGCGTCGAACACAGGATTAAATGGTTTCGAAGGTATACTGTCTGGAGGATGCATCCAGAAAACGGCAGCGCCAGCGCCGCACACACGATTTACGGAACTCCGTCATTCTCATGTGAATGACGCGGCAAGGACGGGCCAATGTAGGAGTGCGGCGGTCAAAGCGGCCGCCAGACGCGGAAGTGGACGCTTTAAACAAACAGACCCAGTGCCATTCGTTAAAAAAGGCGCAAAGCAAAGCGCCCGGCTCGATTGTGAACTCAAAGCGGGTTGCGTCAGTTTGATAGACTTGCGAGACTGTGGCGTGCAGTGATTGGCTGGGCATGGCCTGTAGTGAAAATAATCTGTATGGATTGGGTCAGGGCAAGATCGCACTTGGTATGGCCATTCAAATGGCCTGGAAGCACACATATTTACGGCCCCGGAGAGATTATATGTGTGCTGTGTGTGTGTGTGCGTGTGTGTGTTTGTGCCAGAGGGAACGTGAGCAGAGCGGAGGCCAGAGTTGAAAGGAGATGCGATCGATACGCGCCCAACTGGGCTGAGTCAGAGCAGCAGTCGTGGCAGACCGCGCGTGCATGGCAGGCAAGACAGGCAAGGCGGGCAGCGAAAATTGAGGCAAAAGTGGCGGTTACGACTCGCGAGTGGATCGACGAGACTGGCGCAATTTACGTTTCGTTCGAACTGACGGCTGGAACAGATCTCGACTCATCGTACTGCAGCGTTCAGACGATTGCGTATTTCGCTTTATTTAAAGCCAGTGGACCATCGTTTACGAAAATCTTCATAAAGATGGCTGCCGGGATCCTGCTTTTTACGTCTTATTTTGTTATCTTGCCGGGACATTAAATGATTTTAGTCGAGGGTGTGGATGCCAAAATGGTGCGATATCTATCTTGTATGAGGTCGTATAAGGTGATGAAAAACCGATAGTTGAATTTTCCTACAATCATGTGAGTAAACCTCAAGTCTCCATCACATTTCACACAGCCTTGCTTCCCAAAAGGCATTTACATTAAGGCTGAATTGGACTGCACTTTTGAGAAGCGAATTTCAAGGCAAGTAAGGACTCCCTTATTTCACATTCTTCTAGAATGTGATTTTTTTGACGACACTACTTATAGTCACATTAAGTAGGATTTATAGACTATCGGTAGATATTGAATAAGAAATTTAGTCATGTATAGACGCAGATACGATGCATAGTAGCCATCTGACCTTGTTTTCGCGACTCGGTCATATTGCCATCTTGTCCGTAGTCCATTGTATGCGTGAGCATTTCCAGAATCGGACCGTGGACCGTGCCGACTACGATGCCGGCGAAAGATCTGGGAATGTGCCAAGTCCACGATCTGACTCTGGAAATGATTACGCATACAATGTACTATGGACAAGATGTGTTCTTCTAGGTCGCCCTGCCAATATGACCAAGTCGCGAAAACAAGGTCAAATGGCTACTTTAGTCACGTTTATTCATATGATTGTGGGAAAATTCACTATCACACTTGCACCACCGTTAGCGATATAGGCTGACTAGAGCCTCTATTTTGGCCTTTCGTTGGGCAAAAGCGGTTAGGGATCGCTTTCGCAACATGATCATGTTGCCATGACGATAAGGGTGAACTCACCTGGGCCGAAGCTTTTTCGTCTGCGTAATGTTGATTGAGGTGTGATGGACTTTGACTGTGTTTTTCAATGCATTTTGGTTTGCTGTCTAGACTGGTACAGGTCATAGACGATGCCGGAGTAACGTCTGAGAATGTACTAAATTCACGGTCCGACGCCGGAACGAGCCTACACCCAGGTCGCCATGACAACACTAGTTCGAACCACTTCTACCTCATGATTATGTTGGCTACCTCAAGCCTAATCCACATGCGTGCAAACGAGGGAAGTTGATGTGGTCGCATGTGTTTTCTTACAAAATTAAACTGAGATGTATTCACCCAATTTCGCTTAAGGTGATGAAGGACTGTTAGAAGAAGAATTTTCCCACAATGATATGAGTTTGACTGACGCTTCCATTGCATTTCACAGAGCCTTGCTTGCCCATAAGTAGTTGTCATCCAGAGTGCAAGGATA